GGGCTTCTGGATGCTGGGTTACACCAGACCAGGCTTCCCTAAAGTGGAAATAAGTGCCATTTTGACCGTGGTGTTCATCTAACTTTTAGACTTCTTCATCCACCCTGAGAAAAGGAAAGTGAAAGAAGCCAAGGGAGAAACAACCAGATTTAGGGTGAAACGTGAGAGACCAGAGGAAGAAGAGTGTCTGAGAGCTCGTGTGATACGGGAGGGAGGTGGTGTGAGGGCTGTTAGCGTCAGGTAGGAGCTCGGCTGGTGCAAGGAGGGCATGAACTGCGTACCGCCGACCAACATCTCCTTAGCGACGTGCTGCTGGCCCAGATGGCCACAGCTCCTCACCCGAGCTCGTGTCATCACACTAACTCGTGGCTACAGGCTAGACAGTGTCATGTCGCTGACCATGGGGAGACTGGCGAGGAGCTGTGGATCGATCGATGAAAACCATCTATAGGGACCAGCATTTGGCGTAATGGCTGTGTTGCTGGACTCCCCTGTAGTAGACCACAGTTCGAGTGCCAGACCTGGTGGCTTGCACTCAGGCTGTGTGTGTGTGTGTGTGTGTGTGTGCATGTGTGTATGTGCCCAAGATCCTGAGAGGAGAATGGAGGAGAAGGGATTGTGGCGTGGTCATTCCCCCGTCACTTGCTTGCTGTCTCTCTCTTTCTGGCACACGCCCTATAACAAAAACCTTTCCCCCAAAAAAGAAAACCATCTATAGAAGTAACTTCCTGGAGTTCCACTTATATTATCACTTTCTTAGTCAGGAACCTACAATGAATCCTCCCCATTGTCACCTACACTACCATTAATAATATCCTCATTAATAATATCCTCTCCTGGGCCAGCAGGGAGTGCAAAGGTTAAGGCAGCTGGATCCCACATGGCAGACCGCACAGTTCCAGTTTCAGACCCCTTGAGAATCACACCAGGCAGGTGTGCCCCAAATCCTGAGAGGAGAATGGAGAAGGGATCGCGGAGTGGCCAACCCTCCTGAGGGATGGTCTCTCTCTCTCTCTCTCTCATGAGTGGACATGCCCTAGAGCAAACTAAAGAGAAACACAAACAAAAACCCTCTTGAGTTAATCTCGCTGTGCTGCCCACATTCTAGTCAGCCCAAGCCTACGATCTCAGCACTGCCTCAGTCTGCTCTGCCCTCCACTCCCTCTGCTGTCCAAATGTTCTTAAAACCCACTCAATCCCAGTGTTTCCCTCTCTAATCACTTTGATTCACAAGGTCCTGCCTTTGTCTAAATGCTTTCTACACCTCAGTCTACACTGCTCCATCGCACCTGGCAGTGTGCTGCGGTTCACTGTTCTCTGTTCCACTGTTTTCACCTTTTCTTTCCAATTAGATCACAGACTGCACACAGTGGCCTCGTCTTCTGTGCTGCCTCCCCCTGAGCACCCAGAACCTCCCTGTCTCCAAGCACGAAGAGCACAGAAGATACCTGGTCAATGTTTAACAACCAAAAATTCATCCCACTGACTGGATCAACGTATGGACCAACATATTGTTTATATTACTGCATAGTCTTATATGATGTGGGCGCAGAGACCATGGCTGTAATCTGCCAATCCCCTTGCTTTACTTGTACATAAAAATATGGAAGCCCAGAGAGGATGGTCTTTCTCTAAAGACCACACAGCTCAAGACCCCCAAGTCTCTTGCCTTCCAGCTTAATTTTCTCAGGGCACCATGTCAGGGCCCCTGGAACAAGCCCAATTCTGCAGTCTCCACCACCAGGGGACTGAAACGATGAACCACAGTGAAGTTTGGCTGGTGCATGCACTGCAAAGGAACCAGAGCATTCAAGGTTGCCTTCCCAGTAATATAATTTTAGTTCAGTCTTACTAAAGAAATGACCAACGTACTAAAACTTTCCAAATTCAAAAGTCTTCTGAGATAAAAGTTAACTGCCTGTTTCCTCTGCAGTTCCAAACATCTCCAGTAATTGTGAACTCTAGCCATCTACTTAGGAATTTCCTTTGAGGAGCTTTATGGCTTCTCTTAAAGAAGTTGCTTTTGATTTATGCTGATCATGTCTGGCAGCCAGCATCTCTCTTAATAATAATCATAAATAAGCGAGACAAGGTCACCTAACCTGAAATAAGCACATCTCCACAGCCATATCCATCACGGAGCCCCGGATCTGCCACAGCTGATCACAAAGGTCTCACGCTCTTGGCATTCAAGATTAAATCCCATCTCTAGCACCTAGCGTGGCGTTTTTATTTTACACCGTCCCCCTCCAATAGCCTACCTAACAGGAGAGCCTCGGAGGACAGTGTTTATAAGAGGGCTTAGCCCAGAGCAAGGACGTGTGCACAACCCACTGCCCCTCGCCAGTTATTTTACACATTTGTGTTTTCACCATTTTCTTCTCCTTGTACACCAGTGTTACCAGCCAGACCAAAAGAGAAAGGAAAGTCTTTTAAAAAGAGTAAAAGGATGAAAAGGATCGGTAGAGTTAGGGCACTAAATTATAATGTGTAAAAGCACTTTACAGTAAAACACATGTAATCGTGTAGCAAATGTCACACAACAGTCTGGACTTTGAGGACCGAGACTAGGTGGGTGGTAATAACAACGTGTAATCAACCAGGTCTGGGGCGGCCAGCAGACTCTTTTTTTCCCCCCAGCTAAGTCTCTGGTTTAGATGAACTTTCTTATTATTTTCAGTAACTAATATCAATACATGCCACTGCTCTTGGCCCTGGCAATGGGACACAGCTGTTATGTTATACAGCTGTGTTATGAATGTTAGGAATGGCTGTCCATTTTCAACCTGTCTTTATGGGGTTCTGCTCCAGAGTCTGTTAGGAGACTGAGGGGGTCTGGTGCACCACTGATGGGTATCAAAGACTGCAATGCACACTCCCTGGGAAATGAAGACATCCTGGTGTGGAGCGCCATGTGATTCCCAAACGTGTGTGGAGCGTGACATCCGTACAGCCAAGTTTCCTGACTGTGATGGGGTGGGCCCCAGGGCCATCTACCTAATGTCAGGATGTAAGACTGCATGGCAGGATAGTCCCTAAGAGTGATTGCTAGATTCAAAGAGGACAAAAGGGTTGATGTGCACTGACCACAGCGCTTACCATTGGGCTGGAACATCGCAGAGTTCGTGCTTACCTGGGGATGGAAGAACGGGAAAAAGCGACCCTATGGTGAGGGGAAAAGCGTGTGGGGCAGCTGACCAAGCAGCCATTGGAGCAGTAGATGAAGGGAGGACCCACTGCTGGGTCTCCCATCTTTTAGTTCCAGATAAGCGCATTGCACCCATATTCTGCAGGGCAATGGTTTCTGAGAGCTCATGGAAATACTGGCATTCCACAAAAGGGCATTGGGATGGCAGAGGACAGTCCAGGATGTAGGACCTCATGCCATCCTCACTTCAACCAAGGCACTGAATTGCATGTGAGCTGCTCTGCATAAAATCCTGCTTCATTTAACAACAACAAAAAAGAGTCTTTAGGCTTAAAATGAGTAGGGTCAATTTCTTCCTCACCTCTCTCCCCCCTCTTTTTAAGAATTTGCCAGAGGGTACATGCACTCCCAGGAGAGAGACACAGAGAGAGAAAGTGAGAAAGCACTCCCATGGTGATGGCCATGACACAATTCCTTCTCCATTTCTCCCTTCTTTTGGGATCTTGGACACACATGCACCTGTATCTAGAGTGTTTCTCAAGCCACCAGGTCTGGGAATCGAACTGCTCACAGCTGGAATCTGGCTACCTAAACCACTATGCCACCAGCTGGCCCAAATAGGGGCAATTTCTTCGGAAGCACTTAAGCGCAGAGATGATTCCAGGCAATGTTCTGACGTTCTCAGTGCCCTTTGTCTCTGTCTCTGTTTACCATCCTTTTACCTGTCCTACCCATGGCGACCAGGGCCACCAGTTTTGACCTGGGACTTCTTCCCTTGCCCTCATAGCTTACTGTCACGTGTCACCCCAAACTCCAACTAACAAGTCAGTGGGCTGTAAGCATTGGTTCTATGGAGTGTGTGCCTTGTGGTAGGAGCTTCCTGAGGAGCAGACTTCCTCTGACGCATGCATTTTAGGTTCTTTTTTTTTTTTGAGAGGTTTTTTTGCTATAGGGTGTGTGCGCTCGCCAGACAGATAGAGACAGAGAGATAGAAAGCGAGAAATCACCCCCCAAGGGGGATGACCACGCCGCAATCCCTTCTCCTCCATTCTCCTCTTGGGATCTTGTACACGCAGGGCGTGAGTTTAAGCCACCGGGTCCGGGACTCGAACCGAGATCGACTACATGGGAGTCCAGCAACATAGTCATTACGCTAACTGCTGGTCCCATGACACATGGATTTTAGGAACCATGATGGGTGTGTAAAGGTTGTGCCACCTTGTGTGTATGAATGTGTATATGTGTGTGTGTGTGTGTGTGCACGCACGCACTTGCCATGCAGGCCCTAAGAGTGTGGGGGACAGAGGTGGAAGAAGGGCTTCTCCAATGGCGCTTCCATTGAGACAAACTGCGCCTCACCCCATGTCCCAGAGAGAGGCTGCCAGTGTCTGAGAGGCCACCAGCCCCACAAGATGGCTTCTGCGGCTGAGGGCATGAGGGCAGGTCCCGTGTTCTGCCTCTCAGAAAGCTCGCAACAGTGGTATTCTTGGTCCTGGAGCAGATCAGCCCAGGTCTCTGGGTACAAGGTGAGAAGCCCTGGGGGAAAAGCCAGTTTCTCCTTCAGCTGGTGGTGTGGAGCCGGCTCCTGGCTGCATGTAGTGACCCATCATTTTCACCCTCTGATGACCAGGGGGCACTCACAGGCACACGTGGGGGCAGTGTTTACAGTGAAACCCTGGCATTATGTGCCTAGGCAAGGCCTGCAAGGCATCAGGCTGTGGAGAAAGAAGAGACTGGCCTCAATCCCACCACAGGCCGCACCCCTCCCACACAGCACCAGCAGGGGAGCCATGGCACTGGGGCCTGGGGGCCTGGGCCTTTGGCCTCCCCACTCTTGGGCCCAGGCGCTTACCTGAATTAGAGCGTTTCTTGGGGGTTTTGAGGCTGCGGCACCTCCCGCTGACAGAGCTGCTGTTCTCGCTCATGGAGTCCTGGGCCGAGGACGCGCTGCCGGTGGCCTCGCTGTCCCTCATCATGCTCTCGTAGCCGCTGCTGCCACCGCTGTGGTAGAACAGGGCAGTCTTCCCCATGGCCGGCGGGAGCTCCCCGCTCAGCACACTGCTGTTGTCGCTGCCGTGGCCGCTGCTGCAGCGGTGGGGCTTCCTCGGTGGGGTGATCTTGCTGTAGGGTGAGGGCAGCAGGAGAGCAGCCGGAGGCTTGTCCTCGGTGGGGCCACCGCGCTCCTCCGCCTCCGGTCCGGCCCGCAGAGGCAAGGCCCGGGCACCGGCGCTGCCCTGCAGCAGCTCCGAGATGCGCCCGTTGACAGCACGCAGGGGCAATTTGGAGGCCAGCCCCGAGCCTCGGCTTCTGCTGAGGGACTGGGTGGACCAGGACATGTGCTTCCCGCTGGGGGGCAGGTTGGAGCTCTGGCCCACCGACTGCGGCAGCGACTTGGTGGAGAAGCTGAGGGTTTTGGTGGTGGAGGTGGACAGGTTCCGCGCTTTAGGGCTGGCGAGGAGGAGCTTGCCCACGGCGGAGATCTTAGACTGGCTGGCCTTGGGCGAGGCGCCGGCCGACTGAGAGGGGCCAGAGCCGGGTGGCGAGGCCCCTGCGCTGCGGCCCAGGCTCCTGCCAGTGCGGGGCATGGTGCTGTCTTTGCCAGCATGCACGCGGGAGCTCATGGAGGACAGGCTCTCGGCCCTCTCCAGCGAGAGGCATTCGTAGTGGCTGACTGTGGTCCTGCCAAGGGAGTTGGTCCTGCTGGCCAGCTGCTCCAGCTTCGCACTAAAGAGCTTGCTGCTGCTGCTGGCGTCCTTCATCTTGCTGCTGGGCTCATCCGGGAAGCTGGCCAAGAAGGTGGCAGGTTGGTTCAAAGGGCTGCTGGTGCTGCTGCTGCTGGCGCTGTGCTGGGGGCTGGCCCGGTTCTTCTGATCCAAGCTGGACTTTCGGACAGGAGGGAGGGGAGGAGTCCCTTTGGGCCGAGCCAGGACGCAGTGTTTGGGTGAGGCCACCTTCCTCTCCAGAGTTGCCTTGGAGGGCTGGGTACCAGAGGCGGTGCCCAACATGTTGGTCTCCACAGCACAGTGGTAGAAGAGGCTGTCCAGCTCGTCCTGTCTGCTGGCTTTCTGAAAGGCCCGAGGGAGGCTGCTGGACTTCAGGCTTTTGTTGGGGTACACCGGGCTCTGAGCCACCAACCCAGGCAAGGCCATCTCACACCCGTCCACAACCCTCTTGAAGTTGTCAGTCACGGGGGAGGCAGATACCTCCCCGCTGCTGCTGCTGAGCCTGTCCCCAGGGCTGGGCTTTCTGTCCTGGTCTTGCTCTGGTCTGGCTTCAGGCTTTGTGGGGGCTGTTGCGGTCTCACACCTAATCCTTTCTTCGCTGGGAAAATCATTTTCTTTTTTTACCTCCTCTTCTCGTTTTAGCCAGGGGTCTTCAAATTTCATTTCTTTCTTTGTACTGATTTCTTTACTCTCCTGGGGCTGGGCTGCTTTGGAGGTGGCAGTAGACACCTCGGGCTCTTGGGTGTTCCGGGGACTCATGGCGATACAGGGGTAAACTGTGATGTTGGTTTTCATGGGGATGTACCCTTCGCAGCTGCCCAGGTTGGCCGTGTTGGAGATGGTGACCATGGCCTTCCCCAGAGTGGATATTTTGCAGCCTTTGATGGGGGTGGCTTTGTTGAAAGCGTCTTCCCCCATCTCAGACAAGATGAGCACGTTGTCAGGGCCCGCCTTGGGCTTCTCTCTGCACACCACGGTGCTGTTCTGGATGCTGCTGATGAACTCTGAGGCCGGAGGTTCTGCCATCGCTTCCCCATGCCCAAAACATGTCTGGGCTATGAAACTGTGGCAGGACTGCTCGCCGTCACTGCCCGCGCTCATCTCGCTCAGCCAGGAGCTGATGGAGGAACGCCTGCTCCCCGCCTCGCGGGCCTTCTCATCCAGGCTCAGCTTCGGCAGGGGCAAGAACTGTGTGATGCTGACCTCGGAGACAGGAGCCATGCCGGAGTAGCACTCCAGGTCCTCGCTGACGCTGCTGATGATGCTGACAGGCCGGGAGCCGGAGGCCAAGGCCTGCACGGAGCAGTCACTGTTGAAGCTGATGATGCTGGTGGGGCGGCCACTGTCCAGGACCCCGCTGATGGTCAGCTCCTCCACCAGCGTGAACACCAGTTCATCCTCCCCATTCAGCTCCAGTGGCTGCTGCACCGTCACCATGGTGGTGCTCAGGATCTCCTTCTTGGAATCTGGAGGAGTTGCTGCCTGATGCTCATCATCCACAGTGGCTTCTGGGAACTCTTCACTTCCAGCAGACATGGATTTCTTCAAAACCTGGGGGCTCATTCCTACTGGGGGGGTACGGACCTCAGGCTGCAACAAGGATTCTCTTGATACGATGCCAGAATCCTTGCTCAAGGAAGGCAGTGGTGCAGGAGAGGGCAGGACCCCCTTCTGGGTGTAGACCTTGCATCTCTGGGAAGGAGAGCTGGGTGGTTTGTACTCTGAGGTCTTGGATAAGCTGGCGACGCCCAGCCGGGGGGAGCCCATGGGCCTGGGCTTGCCTTCCACAAAGCCGCAGGAGTTCAGACTCTCGCGGCTGCTCTGCAGGCTGGGGCTCTGCACGAGCTGGGAGGCACTATGCTGGCTGCTGCTGCCTGGGATGCTCCTGGGCGAGGCTGGGCTGGGACTGCTGCCCAGAGCCGCGGCAGGCACAGGGGAGTGATTTCTCTGCATCTGGGAGGCCAGGGAGTCTGCGCCTTCCCTCTCAGTCAGCTGGCCGTCTGACCCATTATCTTCCTTATCGGACTCAGAGAGCGGGTTTGCCCCAGCCGCTTGGCTTAATGGGGGACATTTGTTCGCCTGCTCGGCCCCAAATGGAACAGGCAGCTCTTCAAAAGGAAACTTACTGGGCTCTTCGCTGCCATCAATGCAATCCAGTCTCTCTTGCAGCTCAGCAAATGTGTTGCACTTCAAACAGTCCCTTTCTGACTTGCTGGCCACTGCCTCTCCTGCCTCCGCAGGCCGGCTGTCACCCCTGGTCTTCTGCAGGGCTGGCACGATGGGGACAAAGTCTGGGGGGCCCTCGTTGTCAGTGAGCTCCTTGTCAGAGAGGGCCGTGCCATTGGGCCCGATGTAGATGACGGTGTCGCAGGACTGCTCGCTGCTGGAGGAGTAGTCAGGGTCGCTAGAGAGGTGAGCGATGGGGAAGTCGGGGTCCACCGTGGGCCTGGTGTGGAAGGGTCTCAGCTGGGTGGGCCTGCGCATTCTACCTTCTTCACAGGAGCTCTCTCCCCCTGAGGAGCTCGACGTGTACTGCGTTAGAGAAATCAGTTAACACGGCTGCTCTCCCAAGACAGCCCTCCCAGGGAGACAGTGTTGGGCAGCAAATACTGGTGGTCACTAATGACTGAGCCTACCAAAGGCCACCTGGTTGGCCTCCTGCACATGGGCCAGTACTTGGGGTGCACCATGCAGTGTGCCCCAGTGTTCCACATCCTGGCTGTGTGTGTGAAGGCTAATCCCTAGGTAGCACACTGGGCAAACTGGCTGCTTACAAAAGGGTGACAGTCCAAGTCCTGTATGACCTCCTAAGTGTCACCAACGTGCTACCCTGTGCCATGGGACACTGTGCCAAAATACATACACAAAGGAAAAGAGAATATAGTCCCCACACATCAGACCCCAGATCCGAGTGACCACAGCCATGATGGTTTTCTCAAATGTTCCTGTCACACTACCATTGTCCTGGCTCTGCCTCTGCCTGAGAAAATGAGCCTGGTGACTTCCAGAGACTCAGTACCATCCAGAACCCATGGAATCGGCACGACAAAGTCAGCAGCCAGAGAACAAGCCCTGGAAATGCAGGGGAGGTGGGGCCCCACAGGCACGGAGTTATAACTCCCTGCAGAACCCCCGTGCAAAGACAAGGTCTTCCTTTATGCAGGCTGGAGGAAGGCAAGAGACAAACTATGAATACTTCCCATCCCTGAAAAATGTTCCCTCTCAAAGCAGAAATCCATTTGTCCTATCTAAAGTGGACCAAGCCCTCCCTGTCAGTGGTCCAGGCTGGATGACAGGGACAGCATAGACTGTGGGGAGGGAACATCTCCTGTATCAGCCTGCAAGTGTCTCTGCCCTGAGGTGGACGCTGAGCCACACAGTGGCAGCCACACTTGCACGTGCTCCTGTTGCTTGGGGACTAGTGACACTGTCTTGGCTCTCCCTGACTCAGTTTCAGGGCAGGGCTCCAAAAGCTCCTTTCTCCACAGCACGCCCTGCAAGCTCCTTACCTTTGTCTTCTTCTTCTTCATCCTCAAGACCCTCGAGGCGACTTGGATGGTGGACAGGGTTTCCGCATAGTTGCCGGCCGCGGCGGATATGTGCGCGATCATGGTGGTGCGACAGTTCATGTTCCCCAGAGACTCCCGCAGCAGCATGGTGAGTTTGCTCTCCCTGCCAACAAAGTGAATTAGGGCTGCATTAGTGGGCCATGCTTCACTGTGGCTGTCAGGGTAGGACTTCAGGTCTGCACGTGGCTATTTCATTGTGGGTAGGGGGTGCACCCCCCCTTCTTTTTAATGGCATACTAATTAGCATCATTTTCCAGCTTGGGCTATTTGGAGTTGGCAGCTGAGCAAGTGCTTCTAACTCCAAAGATGGAATTCATGCAAAGCACCTCCCTTGGCACCTCTGTCCTGGCTGCGACAGGGTATCCCTATGTGTCTGTGTGTGTGCATATGACACTGCACATAATGAGGCCTGGGAACAGAAACTGGAAGAGGAGATCAAGAGAAAACAGCTTCACGGACAGTCATTTGGCATGTGCTCTGCACACATGATCCGCTCCTCCATTTCTGCACACAGGCAGTCCCTGCAATGAAAAGCAGTCCTTCCGCCATGGACTTCAGTGAAGACCTGTGTGTTTATAGTAAACGCAAATGTTCTGTTGCCAAGGAGTGACAACTGCTTCATTGTCATCATCCCTTAACTCTTATATTTGCACCTAGAGCCAGAAGGAAAAGGCATTCCTATTCCTGATGATAAGTGAAGAAACAGACAGAGGGTCAAGCACTCAATCAGCAACAGAGAGCAGAACTTTCTTGAAAGGCCTCCTCTGGGCCGTTTCAGGAGTTTTGTGAGGCCAGTGCTCTGAGTGGTGATAATGAGGCCCTGGGGTTTACAAATGGTGTTTCTAGGCTCTTTTAAGAATGGACCAGAGGAGCGCGCGGGGCGCCCGGCGGAAGCCGCGCGGGGCGCGGGAG